AGGCCTGTTGTTTCTGTTCATCCTGTTTGCTGTTTTGCAGAAGTAACTGTTCTTAAACCGTCTAAATGTTGCACACACATTTCCTTATCTTAACACATATAAAACACATTTTTCTAACCCACCATCTTACATTTAAACACATTTTATCATTACATTTCATTATTCAAACCACATTTTGCAATAAGCATTTAGTCATTACATTTGTTTATCATTTGCCAGCATTAAAATCAATTAACATTATTTATTTTACTCTCTCTGCCTCTTCTTCTTCATTTGGGCCGATATTCCTTCATCCAGGCTCCTCTTGTGACCTCTCTTCTTGTCCCGTCCTCTTCTTTGCTGGAGGTCAAAGGTGGATCCGCTGGCCTGTTACCAACCATTTTAGTTGCTGGCACAGCCAGGTTTCTTGACAACAGATTTTGAAGAAGTAATTGAATCATTGAATCAGGTGTGTTGGAGCAGAAAAACAAAGAAAATATGCAGGTGGTTGACACCCCTGGTCTATAATTACCACAGAAGTCCAGTCACAGAACAGCACCTGCGCTCTGATCAAGATGGTTGTTACTCCTGATCACTCCCCTCAGATGACTCTGTCATTGCCCCCACAGACAACTAAAGACAGAGTCCCTTGATGGAAACCTTTCCAGGTCACAATCAAGAGACTCCAAGAAGCCTGAGTAATCTGAASTGGTGTTTGGTGCAGAAGCAGAGGTGTGGCTGACGCTTATCCATGGTTTATAGGCCTTTAGCAGCCCCAAATTGATCTAAACATGAATGTCTTCACATCAAATCCAGTCCTGCTGTAATCTGACCCCAGCTCTGAGCAGCGTCCAGTCTGGTTGAAGGTGGATTCTAGTGCCTCAGGAATTCACCTCATGTACTTTCTGACTTTGGATACACAGGTTTGTTATTTTCAGCTGTTTCCTGTTCTTGTTCCCCTTCAGGCAGCTGGCTGAAGTCAGAGGAGACGGTGGTTTTGAAAACAAAAAGAGCAGACTTTGCTGCTGCCTTCCTGCGAGGACGGATGGTGGTCGCTGGAGGACTTGGTAAGGACAAAGTCCTGGATCTCAGGTTGACATGTAAAGTTTCAACTGAACACATCATGTTTTCTGTTCTTTCTGGTTTTAATGTTCAGCCKAAATGTACAAAGTGAGGATCAGTGTGCAGATCCGATGTTTGTTCTGGCTGTTTCAAGAGAACCCACCTTATTTGAGAGGAAGTGAAGTCTTAGCAGACATGGCTCAGACGAATGTTGAAGAATAAAGGCTGAAAGTAATACAGTCAGTGCAGATTATTTATTGTTTCATCTAGATATTTTGACTGAGAAGCTGCAGTTAGCTGCAGACAGGGATAATGAACCTGGAAAGAGGAGACAGAAAAATGTATAAACAACAAATTGGAATTAAGACTTGTGGGCAAAACTTTTTTTCCACCATGCATTTTACTTAAGAAAAAGGTATGTATAAAGTAAAAGAAAAATCAAAAAAAATATTTTTAAAACAATAAAATGTAAATTATGTGCTAAAATATGTAACTTGTTGGAAATAAGCTGGAAAAATTAATGAAGGTCAATGAAATRATAAAACGAGGTAAAATTCTCCTTTTTAAATTAATTGGTGCATTTTAAGTGTATTTATTTATTGGACCATTTATATAGTTCTGCTTTATTTTTATTTATGTTGATCCTCCATAAATGATTGCTTTAMAAAAGTAACTAAAAGTAAGGACAAAAGTAACTTCAGTGTTAAATGTTATTCCTTGTGTTTTTGTCTGTGAATTTTTGATATTTGCTACAGTTTACAGCAAAATTTTCAGTTCCTGATGTGTTAATCTTGTTTTTCTTGGGGTCAGCACAAGTATACATATGGTCCATGTTGATCCACAATCAACACATAGCAATGGCGGWACTGTTGCACCTTTCAAACCATGTGAATTTATCAATGGTCTCACCCTTTGAACTAACCTGGTTACAACCAGACCCTGTCCTTCACTTTGCTTTGTACAGGGGTCTGGACTTGCAGCATAGAGAAGCGTTTCTTGCAGGAGGCGTGGCCTCTGCTGAAGTTGGTAATGGTAATGGTAAGTGGGGATGGGTACAACCCAGGTGAGCGGGGGCCTCATAAGTGGGCCCATTGCTCTCCCCAAAAGATACTGGGCTTTAATCAAACCTTTTTGTCCCTCGGATGAAGGACACCAGGTTAGAAACCCTCAGTGTTCTAAGCATCTTGGGATCCACAAAAGGGTCTCCAAGAATTCTTTCCTTTAGACTACTCAGAGCCAAGCATTGGCCTAAGT